TATATATATATATACATATATATATATATATATATATATATATATATATATATATATATATATATATATATATATATATATATATATATATATATATATATATATATATATATATATATGTATGTATGTATATACATTTAGTACCTTACCTAAACACTATAATTGATTAAAGACTTTGTCAATAAAACAAAAGCAAGATTATCAACTTCATGTATATACTCAACATCCAGATTAATATGAGGATAGAAAATACTCAACTCAATACTGGATTGAGAATGAAAATCATAAGTATCATAAATGATCAATATGCTAAGGAAAGAAAATATTATAGATGAAGAGAAGACACTAGGAATATGAAAAGGTGGCTTAGGTTGGGAAATAAAAATAGGTTAGGAAAGAGCAAAAAACAAAGACAAAAGATCATATGGCAGATTAAAAGATTAACACCTACCCTACAAAATCTCTAACTCATCTCCAAAGCTATTTCCATAATAATCAAACTCCTCATCATAATTTGGAATCCATTCAAGCTCATAAATATCATCTTTCCATAAACTTGATCTTTGAACATTATCCAAAAACTAAATTACATCATCCATAACTCTCCAATCGATATTATGATCACACTCTATATTAATAAGAGATGCTAAAACACTAAAAATAGGAGAAGCTAAATAATCATGTCCTATAGAAGCTGGAGACAATAACACACTAAGGATGGTTGGAGCACTAATATAATCACACCCCACAGCACCAAAAACTTGATCCAATGAAATAGTATTAGCAACCTCGAGTGATATATTCCTTGATTGATGATGGTGTGGGATAAAGGAATGCAATGAAGATCAAAAGAAATAGCAAACCTAAACACAACAAAAAAACTAATACAAATCAAGACTTATAGAGAATAAAAGAATAAAAATATCAATATGATCTTGAACACTAAAGTAAAGCATTACTAAGATTGCTCATTAGGGACAAATTGCAATGCCTTTTATCTATATCAATATGAGTGTTTAATAACTAGGGTTTAAACCCCTTGTTTATGTACAAAAATGGATGAATTAGATTCAGTGCTAAATGAGTGGTCTATATCCTATATTACTATTATCAATGTGTTGCCTAGGTAATATACATATATGGATTTATAGACCTTACATTATTAATAATATAGAGCTTATAAAGTGTAGTTATTAATAAGAATAAATATCACTATAGTTAGAACCTTTCATCAACCAAATTCCATAGAAAATTATCTATTATCCTCAATTTCAAGTTCCACAACATCTTCAACCCCAACATGTATTGCCACAGCTAGAATACTTTCAAAATTCACATTGCATTTCACAGCTATGGCCCCAAAAGGACCAAGCCAGAGGCAACCATTTTGGCATGGCATAACATCAGAAGTGAAAGAAAAAGTCCTGTTCATTTTGTTAGTGAGAACATGATTCTAACACCACAAAGGTAGAAGTCTGTGTAAACTCTATTACAGTGTAAGGAAAATCTTAATCTAATAACAATTGAATCATAGAGGGGGAGGATACCATCATGGCAGCAGCAGATTGGAGTAGTACACGTTTAATTCCGAGTTTGAATATATTACAGTATTTGATGTTTGTAAACTTGAAACTCATGGTAAGATTAATATTAGACATAAATTGTTTTGCTTCACATATCCATTAAATTAGTTTATAGTTGTGAGAATATTTTTATATATCAAGAACATTCTTTAATATTTTATTTAGAATGTTACATTTGTAACATTAGCATTACAAGGGTGCATTAGTTTTTCATTAGTATAATATTACTTTTTAACAATTAGTAACAAAATCCAATTAAACTAATTAACTAAATTGGTTTTATATTGTAAATTTTTATAAATATTACATAGATAATAGTTGGAATTTCATACTATAGGTTGAGTGAATAATATTTTAGTATAAAACTAAATAACAATCATTTTGAATGACCAAATATCTATTTATAATGCAATCAGAAAAATAGTTATCTCTATTAGGAGACCAAAAAATAGTACCAATCTCTGAATGTAATGCTAATTTCCATTATTTGCTAGTCCTAATTTAAATTTTTTATTGTTGCCTAATGTTTCTGTAGACCACATTTTATATTTATCAATATATAAAATAAGATTATAATTAAAATTCAAATATAATATTACTTTTCTGTTTGGAAAAGCTAAAAAATGTTCTTTACTTAAATATTAGTAAGGCCTATTGGCATGCTAATAAAAACAAAGCACTGGTCATTACTTATAAATCAAGCCTTTTAGTTGGACTATGTTGAGATGGTACATAATTTTTAATTACATACTTAATAGTTTATAATTTTTTCATAATTATACTGAAAGATGAATCTGAATTAATTAATAAACTGGAACAAAGTTTAACTAAATTTTGTAATTCAGATTTTATAATATCTCAATTGTCTCTATTTTACATAATATTCTCTAGATGTTGTACCAGCATAGACAATAAATATGTGATTGTGCATGCTTGCATTATATATTTACATGCAGATTTTTTTTTTTGTTTTGAGTTGTATGCAAAAATATTATGCATACAATCACTTTTTAATTGCTATATAAACAATTGAAACATGATTGTGTGTATGATATTTTTGTCATAGGATATGCCATATATGCATAGAGTATGACATCTCAAACTGTCAAGGAACACATCATATTAGATAACATGGTATTACAGGATATTTTTTATTTTCATTTTCATGTCATAGATTTATAATATTTTAATTTTTATTGAGTGAAGATTTATAGTCTCTTAATTTTGATCATTTTCTCCTCTCATTTTGCTCTCTCATATTTTTGCGGCTTATTTGCAGTGGAGCACCTTAATCTAGATAGCACTTGATTGACATGAACAATCAATTATGAAAAATTGACTGATTGATAACATGGTATTACAGAGTATTTTTTATTTTCATTCTTGTGTCATAGATTTATAATATTTTAATTATCATTAAGTGTAGATTTATAATATCTTAATTGTGATCATCTTTCTCCTCTCATTTTGCTCTCTCATATTTTTTCGGCTTATTTGTAGTGGAGCACCCTAATCTAGGTAGCGATTGATTGACATGAAAGCAAATGAAATCAATTAGGGAAGGCAAAACATTTCTTTAAGTGCTTAGGTCTTTGATGTGGTAGTTTTTCCATAACCAAATAGATTTTGTTGTAGCCAAGGTAATCCATTAACTTTATTGATTTCTCGCATTTTTAGTCACACATTTAAGTTTTTGATATTGTAGTGGTTTGTTATATTTGAGTATGTTATATAACCTTTCTTTCTTAGGCATGTTACAAATCAACCCATGTGTTGAAAAATATCATACCTATAAGCTCTAATCCAAAGTTTAAACTTTGCTGACAATTAAAAAAGTTTGCTATAAAGTTAAAATTTATATAGTACAAAATATTGCACATTTGGAATTCACATGTCCTTTATCATGCATATGTAGTAGGCATCAATACATGCCTATACATTATAAAAGGGCTTTTTTTTTGTGAGTCATATATATGTATTATAACAATTTAAATATATATTTTAAACTTCTGCCAAATTGCCAACCCCATTCATGTAGATCTTCTTTTACTCCCCCAAATTACAAGCATAAATTGCTTGCCATACAATAGTGTTATTTAAAATTCAACAATTAACAGTAATAATAAATACATCATTTTCTATCTGAATATCATAACTTACATCTTGACCTCTTTGTACATCAACAAAAAAGTAATTATCTAAATGATAGCCAAAATCCCTGGTTTCTTTTTTCATATCAAACAAATTTATTAAAGAAATATTTATATATTTTATTTAAAACTTTATATATTTATTCATTTCAAAGTTCTGAATCTTTCAACGTGAATCAGTCAATTCTTTTAAGTTGAACAAACTGTCTATCGATCAAAGCCATTGAAGTAAAAGGACGAAACACTTATGGAAAGCTCTTGCATACCTCCAGTAGCTCAGTTGGTCCATGTCAATTGAGAACCCCGCATCCTTGAGCCCAGTTTTGACACGCCCGAAATAGTACCTTGCATCAGCCAAGTTCCATAAAAAAAAAATGAAACAGAAATTCTACAAAGAAAATCACTTACTTCTTCTCCAATGGACTTTTCATCGGCCTCAAATTCAGGTTCCACGACATCCTCAGCTCCAACATCGATCGCGGCAGCCTGAAAACTTTCCGAATCCACATTGCCTTTCACATCTTGGCATGGCTCTTTTTGATAACATCGCGAACGAACGAAGCTCTGTTCGTGTTGTCCGTGAGAACTTCCACCACGATTCCAACACCACCAAAGCCGTATGCCAGGATTGGTTTTAACTCTTTTGCAGCGCAAACAAAACGCAATGTGAGTTACCTCATAACTCTTGCTGGTGTCTTTTGCTTTCTTGATGTTGCGTTCTATGAGACCTTCGCTTTCTGCACCAGTGCTGCCAATGTTAAATTCCGTCCCTCGCCCTGAAAAACCGATCCAATTAGCAACAAGCGAGAGAAAAAATCACAAATGCAGTACGCTTGCGCTATCTCTTTGCCAAGCCTGGCATTAACTTTGTTTCTCTTCAAGCCTGTGCCGCCTGCAGCACTGCCGATTACATTAGAAGCTTCAGACGACAAAGAAAACGCTAACCTTCCTGTCCGCAATCTTGCAAGCTCGCCTTCCCATTTCCAGAGGAGCAGAGGTCCATAGATGAAAACAAATCGCATTTCCCGCGTGCTGCCATGACGAACGTTTCTGCGATGTGCTCTCACAACTGACTTCATTTGCAAAACTCTAAAACCCTAGAGATCGATATTCACCTGAGAAGGAAGCATTAACTACAACACAAAGAAAACTATAGAACACATACAATCTTACGCTGTACAAGCTTCGGTGTCTTCACATCAAAGTTGCCAGGCCAACAAGCCCTGGACCATCGTCCTCTTTCACTCCCGGTTTCCCTTTCGCTAGAGGCTCTGGAAAAAGACAAAGATAGTAGTGATCGTAAAACTTTCAGAGACCACCACGTTGCTTACTTGTAACGTTAGTGATGACACTAGTGTTCTTCTGCGGTTTCAGTGCCTTGAGCTTGTCCCCTCCAGCCGCCAAGAGAAGATTCTTTATGTGCTGGCGCTGCTCTTTCACGCTGGTGGTTTTGTTAAAGGCTGTTTCAAAATTCGCAAATTCTTGTTGACTGATGGAAGGCAGAGACATCAAAACCTGTTCAAAAACAAGTAAGTAACATAGTAAAAAGGTGCAGAGGGACTTACTTGTTTAGGCGTTGACGTGTGTGGAGATAGTTTCACTAGAATTTCCCGGAGCAAACCGAGAAGTTCAGCATGCGCTGCGCTGTTCGACTCTAGTGTCAAGCTCTGGATTATAGCAGTGAACATATCTTTCCCCACGATCTCTCTTAAGTTGGTGTCGTTAAGTGGACCAGCCACGTCAATCACAGCTCCACAAAAAACCGCACCTCTGTGAACCGCATCGCTATCTGGCCATTGCAATGACTGAATTCCTAGATGGACCGTTGCGAAAGCAGCAGCGGAGTGCTGGATTACATAACTGCGAAGAAAAAAGTAAATGTTAAACTATAAAGCATAAGAACTTCCAAGTACTCAGCTCACCAAAGCATTCCCGGCTGCTGCTCCGGATTGAGTTCACTTGAGGCCATGATAGCCAAAAGTGTGCAGACTTCACGAGTCAGTTCCCTTAGCATACGCTCCTCGACGAGTTCCGTATTGATTCCCGAACTTCCGTCCACTGCAAATAAAGTGCCAGTCTTGACAGCACCTTCCCTCACGAGGTTTTCCCAGGCTAGTGGCAGGGTCGCATGACAATGAACAAGTAACGGTGGCAACAACTGACCGAGCCAGACTTCTCGGAGAGAGTGCGGGCAAAACCTTACAAATGACTGTATAACCGAATGAACCAGGGAACGAAGATGGCGAAATTCCATTGAAGAAAGACTCTCCATGAGCCCAGTTGCTAGAGGCCCACTCAGTCCAGACATGTTGACGAAGAACTGATTCCCTAAGCGAGAACTTGCATAACGTAAAACGTTGTATCTGTACAGTAAAAGTTAGGAACTGCCAGTCGTATACATTCAAATACGTTACCCACTGTCGCGAACAGATTTGAGCCAGTTTCTTAGTTCATCCTCTTTGTGATCGACTGTCTTAGATTCTCCAAGTATCGATGCTTGCTCACTAGCGCTTAAATGTATTGCTTGGCGAACAGGCGGAGGCAACGTGGATAGAATCGATGGAATCCACAGCGAGTGCAAGCAGCGTAACAACTGCAGGAAATCCACGTTATTAGCCTTCATTCTGAATGAGACATGAAAGAATTACCTGTATCAAAGGCGGCAAAATCCAAGACATGTGAACTGCCATGGGATGTGAACTAGGATTACCTTCCACACCAGCCGCACATCTTCTGAGCGCCTTTTCAAAGAAATGAATGCTGTGAAAAATGTACCACATGCCTTCGTCCCCAGACAAGTTTTCCGTGGTAGTCGTACCCAGTAGTCGCACAAAACCAGCAGGATCACACAGATACTTTTGTTGCCAGTCGGAGTGACACCAATAATCTCTGAATGGTCCAAGTAGCCATTCCAAAACTTGATTTTGTTGCTCCTGCCTGCTAATTATATCAGGCAGCAATAAAAGACATCTAAAACATACCCGGCAGTAGACCCCGCAACCAATAAGGATTCACCCAACAATATGTACTCCCCACGAAGGAGGTGGCGCTCCTGCTGTAGCCTCGTCATTGTTTCAGCAACAATCTGCACTAACCCCATCAATCTAAAAGCACGACGTCATGAAAAATATACCTGCATGTGAGGAAATAAAGCTGGACCCGCCAGTTTTGCTATACGCAGAAACGATGTGCAGACTTGAAATCTTGCCTTCGAATTGGTAGAGCTCGCTTCCTACAAAAGAATATTAAAACATGATTTGTCGACAAGAACAAAACTAACCTTTGAGACTACAGGCACTGTTACTAAAAGTTGAAACAATTTCTGTATCACCGTAGGTACTGCAGTTGGTACATTCTTTATGTAAGGCACAAGAGCATCAAAACACTTTGCGTGGATCTCCACAAGCTCCGGTTCACTCCAATGGACGGTCAGCAATCGCTGCAATAAACCTAGACACATCATCTAAGTATACATTTATTCCAGTAGCTAACAACGTACCACCCAGAAGCTCACTCGTTCCTCCACGTGCAAAACATCCGGTTACAACTGCATCCAGCATGGTATGTGTACTCTCGAGAATGAAATACTCCTGCAAGGAAGGTTTAGATAACAGTATTGAATGCAAAATAAAAACCTGAGAAGATATCTTCTCTTTCGTCAGAAAAACATCAAGGCGTTGAACAACTTTTGTAATGCCCAGGTCATGATGGTGATGTGCAACCAGTCGAATTAGTTCTATCTGCAGCAAGCGCAGCATTAGTCTTACCCTTCAAAAATTTACGACGCTTACCAAACGGCCACGATACTGGCTATAATCCACCGCAGATGTGAATTCTTCTTCCTGGCCATCTTTTAGAAGCTTCTGAAATGCCACATCAAGTAGCACGCTCGCGGTTTCAATCGGAACAACCACTGTAGGTCTTGCTATGATCACCTTGTTCCGCTCTACCGATAAAGAGTCACGTAATAGTCCCTGGAAGAATCTGTCAGCATTTACGATGACAGCGTTTAGAGGATATTTACCAGCCATAATGGCAATGCCTGAACATGCAACGAAAATTCAGAGTGTTGCAGAAACTTCAACATCTGTGAAAGTCATTTGGTCAACTCAATGTCCTCCCGAAATGGATTTACCTGACGATAATACGTTGCAAGCTTTTGATTGTTGGATGAAATCACCTGCAGATTTTGAGACCCAAGAGCGACAAGTGCTTCGCACAGGCACTCCGCGAACTCCAGAGGGGCACTGCCACCCCCATCGTAATGAACAAAATATGCGTCGCAAACGGACGAAAGAATTTCATAGACGCGCGCAAGCACAGAATTGAAGAGCTCGACATCTTCGTCGTATGGCTTTCTCCTATGAACTATTATGGTCAAACCAATTTAATGAGAAAAGCCAGCACATGTTACCTGGATAGCAGTTGCTTTAAAATCTCACAAGCGGCCAAACGAAACTCTGACGAATTTATCAAGAAACCACAACTGAAACAAGAAAGTGTCAAATGTGAAGTTCACGCGGGTACTGATGGATCCTTACGCTTCTACGAGGCCATAGCTAGAGAAGTTGGTGACAGGAGACCATTCTGCGTACACAAGAACAGCTTGTAAGGCAGCCGTCACGACAGCGGCATGCTGCTTCGCTAGCTCCATTTGCTGCAAATGCATAGCTTCCATCCCAGCGCCAAAATGTTTTTCCAAAAGCTGTTTCAAAACAAATGAATACCCTCTGTACCAAAACGAGAAACATGGCACTTACTTTGTAGAAGAATGGAAAGAGCTGGGGAAGACTTTCCGTAAGTTCTGACAACAATTGCCTCCTCCGCGTGGCTGCCAGTGAGGAAGATGTGAGAATAATAAACAGAAGAACAGAGACATACTTTCTAGATCTTCGTTGTGAACAATCACATCTTCTGGAAGCCAACGCATCACCATAGCAACCATTTCAGCCTGTCAAATCCTTTTGAGGACAGAGAATGAAAGTGAAGTTTTAGCTTACGTGAACAGGACTCATGTCGCTTATAGGAAGTAGAGATTTTAGCATCCCTTTCCAAACGTCCGGTTCTTCCCTTCTCGTAACCTTCACCATCCAAAGAAGTGATAAAACTTCCGAGCTAGAACACGTAAACTACTCACCTCTGCCACTAGTGCGGCGGTCTGGCTCTTCACAGACCATGCCTCGTGAGGAGTAGCAAATTCTTTGACCATATCCAGCACCATGCCAGTCATCTTCCCTTTTTCTTCATGGTTGAGCTCGTCCCACCTGATTCGAACCAGATGCTGCGATCGAGAAGAGGAAGGAAGAAAAAAGAGTGAAACAAGTTTAGCCTACGTAGGAAAGAAGCGATGCGTTACTTGTAAAAGCTTCAATCCATAATGCCGGACTTCGAGAGGCTGATTTTGGCTCGATAACGCGAATGCAGTTCCTCCGAGCACGCGCACGTCCCCCGATTTGATCTGTTCATGAAAAACACCGTGAATTTCAGCCGCAATACGCTGTCCCAACAAACCGAATCCAAAAATGATATTGCTGCCAGACGATCTTGCGCGCAATCGAGAGCCGCCTTCACTGCGGCAGCGACGCTCGCAGGATCGACCATCGCGGCGTCCAAAGAACCCTACTCTCCACCGGAAGAATCCAAAACCCTAAACTTAAACAGTGACGTGGCAAAAGTGTTATGACTTGGCGTAAACCAATGGCGAGCTTCCACGTCAGCACGATAATCCAGCATTATAGGCTGCTATTTTGTTCCCGTTAGCTAGAATTTCTTCACGGAGAGGATGATCTCCGCGAGGTATGAAAGTCGGGCACTGGCATAGGTCTGTGGCGCTGCTCCTGGGAATTATTGCCACGGCGCTCTTGTTCGTGGCGATCAGCCACGATCTCCGCTCCTATTCCATCGAGGTATCGACATCGACATGGGTTTCGGCCGCAGATTCTCGCAATGCCGGCTCGATCGCGTCGGAAGTGGTGGATTACGAGGCCCGGGAGGACGAATTCGCCGATCCGGAGCCTCTAGATCAGCAAGAACAGGAAGAACAGGGCGAGAAAGAAGAGGACAAGCCAGAGGCTAGGGAAATCGAGGGCGGGGATAGCAATGGGGCGGCTGGAGTGGGATTTTCTCCAGGGAATTCGACGAATCGGGAGTGTAATCTCTACGAGGGGCGCTGGGTACGCGATGAATCATACCCACTGTTCCAGCCTTTCACTTGTCCATTCGTCGATACCGCCTTTCGGTGCCAAGAAAATGGACGCAAAGATAAAGGCTACTTGCAATGGCGGTGGCAGCCTTTTGGGTGCGACATACCAAGGTACTAGATTTTTTTCTCTCTATCCTTTTGGCTCTATCGAAACTTTTCTATGCATTCTTCTAGCTTTAGTTTGACGAAAGCATGATAGAATGAGCTATGGAGAGATTCTTTTTCCTGTCATGACTCTAAAGTTTTTTTTCTTCTCTAGCCTTGTCTCAAGCTTTTCTTATGCATTCTTCTAGCTATAGTTTGAAGAGAACATAGATAGAATGAGCTACGAAGAGATTCTTTTTCCTGTCATGACTCTAAAGATTTTTCTTCCTTCCGCAGATTTAATGCGTTGGATATGTTGAAGAGACTACGGAACAAGAAGCTCGCCTTTGTGGGAGACTCTCTGGGGAGGAATCAATGGGAGTCTCTCGTGTGCATGCTCTATCAAGGAGTTTCCAACCGGAGCAACGTCTTTGAGGCAAGAAGGCAGCAAGTTGGAAAGGCCAGGCCGAGCTACTCGGTAAAGTTTCCAGACTACAAGACGCAGATCGACTACTACCGCACACATTTCCTGGTTCCCGAGGGTCGAAGGCCTCCAGGAATAACCGAGAGGAGGAGGATCAAGTGCTCTTTGCAGCTGGACAGAGTAGACAAGACCGGCTCCAAATGGAAGAACGCTGATATCTTGGTCTTCAACTCGGGACACTGGTGGAACCATGGAAAGATCTCCAAGAGGTAAGCTTTTCCTCACTTACATGACGTCTTCTCTGTCTCAAACTTGTGTTTGATTTTCCAAAAGGTGTTTCTTCATTGAACGGAGTAACTACACCTTGAACATGGACGTCCATGCTGCCTACGAGAGAGCTATCCAAACTTGGGCTTCATGGGTTGACAATCACCGCGGAAAGAAAGTTTTCTTTCGTGGTTTTGCTCCAAACCACTTCAGGTACTCGGGAGAAAGAAAAGAGAGTTTTGATAAAAAGACTTTCCATGTTTGTGACAGTGGAGGAGATTGGAACACTGGAGGGACATGCGAGACACACATCCAGCCTCTCGATGATGAATCAAAGCTAGACAAGTATCCAGACAAAGTCGAGGCCGTGGAGAACGTCTTGAGCACCATGAAGACGCCGGTGACGTTTCTTAACGTGACGAAGCTCTCGTTGTTCCGCAAAGATGGTCACGTCGCTGGATGGGGAAAACGCAACGGCAGTGGTCGCCAAGACTGTAGCCACTGGTGCCTTCCCGGAGTTCCAGATACTTGGAACGAGCTTCTCTACGCGTCTTTAACCCGGAGCTAGAGTTTTGGAAAGCGCTGTGCCTAAAAATCTCTCTTTTGACGACACTAAAGACATTCGATTCTAGGCTGAATAATGCACTGCTTCCGAAAAATTGGTTTTAGTGCCGCTGCGGTGTGAGAAACAAAGTTTGATCGTTACGTCCAAATGGAAAAACTAGAAAAGTTTACCTTGTGCGCTCTCAAAAGCTGGCTTCGGCCGTGGCAGCCTCGTCCTCGTTAGGAGATTCTTCCCTGGCAAATTCCTCCAAAAGTTGCCGCTGCCTATCGCTCATGGTTCTGGAATTCAAGGAAACGACGCGTGAGTGAAGATCTAAAGGCGATAAGAACTGAAGTAGAAAACTCACACTGGGATGCTCACACGGAAATGGACGTACTGATCGCCATAACCAGGACGTTGAACCATTCTCATGCCTTGGAAAAAACGAAAAAGTAAAATCAAAGTAGAGAAAAGAAAAAACTCGTCTAGTCTCAAAGTACCTTTTCCTCTCATCACTTGTTTTTGCCCGGGTTGAGTGCCTGGCCTAACCTGTTTTAATCGAAAATCCATGGTGAAGAATTCCCCCTCGTAATAACTGGGCATACCTTTAGCATGACTGATCCTCCCAATGTAGGCACTTGGACATTTCCACCCAAGGCAGCCTACAAACATATATCCGCTCGTGTCTAAAACAGTAGAAAATAAAGAAGAGAAAATGTTACCTGGATCATGGTGACTGGAGCATCGACGTGAACATCAGCACCCTCTCTCCGGAAAACTGGATCAGGCTTGACCTGGAACGACCCAAACTATTACCTCCGCAAACTGTAGGAAACAATCGTACCTCCACTCTAACAATAAGATCTGCGGCTCTTTGGCCCCGAGCACCACAAGCTCCCTCGCCAACAACTTTTATGTCCGTCCCACTCTCAACACCTGATACGCAACAAGAAAACGAACACAGTTGAGAAGAAAACACAAACTAGCACGGTCCATTATCACTTACCAGCAGGAATATCGATAAAGACTTCCTTGACACCCATAACGACGCCGGAGCCCTGACACCCGTTGCAATGCTCCTGTAATTCTCAACAATCAGAATGGTGTTGCTTCACAAAAGCAGTTTACCTTTACATATTCTCCTGTTCCTCTGCAATTCGTGCAACTTGACTCGAACGAAAAGAATCCCTTTTGCATGAAAACCTGTTCAGAAACATGAATATCAGAGTTATACGCGGGAAAGAAGGAAAAACCTTACCCTCCCAGCACCCCTGCACGACTTACACATCTGCGGCTTTACTCCGCTTGGAACACCAGAGCCCCCTGAGGAGTAAAATCTGATATAAAGCACAGAAAAAAAGAAAACAAAAGAAGAAGAAAAACTTACTGCACTTGTCGCAGCGTATTTGCGTGCGGTATGTGATTTTTCTTGCGCAACCGTTTACCGCTTCCATGAAATCAATATACACATTTTCCTGTTGAAGAGCAAATCAAGATGAGTTTTACAATGCAGGGAGTCTACAGAGAGAAAGCTTACGTATGTGTTTTTCTTCCCACCAAAGACTGTACTGAAGATCTGAAAGTTGCTCATGACAATGAGAACAAAGTCGTCAAAGATTTGAGTTGAAGCTTACGTCTTCCATGTTAGCACCACGACCACCGCCAGTAAACATGTCGAATACGGAGCCAAATCCGGCACCAGGACCAGGCGGTACTCCATCAGCTCGTTGAACATAAGCCTCATGCCCGAGCTGAAAAGGAGCTAGCGATTTGTCTCGTAGATAAAAGAAGGAAATCCCACCTGGTCATACAGATTCCGCTTTTCATCGTCCTTAAGAACTTCGTATGCTTGTTGAACCTCCTGAAACTTCTTCTCGGCATCTGGATCCTCCTTGTTCACGTCAGGGTGATGTTTCTTAGCAAGCTGCGAGAAAAGAGAACAACCACTTCGAGTTATAGAACACGCAAGAGCTTCACGAACCGCATAGTAAGCCTTTTTCACATCGGCAGCGCTTGCCGTCTTGGAAACACCCAGAGCATCATAGTAATCGTTCCTCAAGGCTGTCACAAGAAAGCATACAGGGTGAGCAAGATCCGAGAGAGGAAGAAAAAACCAAACAAAAACCACACCTGTAGAGTGGAATCCTCGAGCATTGAAGCTAAATCCAAATCCTGTGAAGCCAGCATTGTTATAAGCACGAGCAAAACTACTGTAGCAATGTCTCTGGTCACAAGAGAAAGCGTTCTCCTGCACAAGCGCTAACTGAGAAAAACTAGGCTGCGAGATTGAGAAACTTCTACCTTGTTCCCGGAGCCATAGATTGCGCGATCACACAGCCGCCGCTCCCACACGCCCGATCCGCCATGGTGACTCCCCAATGCCGTCTTGGCAGCGCGCCGAATGATCTTGTGATGCACCATTGCCCTCCAAAACCCCGGGAAATCTCACAGCATAAACCCTACATTTTGCTCAAAAGCGTGGAACAAGATATTTTAGGGCCTAGGGTTTAAGCTTCTACATTGCTCTATTGATGTTTACAAGGTTCTAGATACTCAAAAATGTGCTTCCACTGGAGCGGGAATGATCCACTCAAACAAAGTGTGAGTTACCGCCAAGAAGGAACGCTACCTTTTGTGAATTAGAAGCTCCCTTCGGCTGTAGCATTCTCGTCTTCGTTAGATTCTTCTCTCGCGAATTCCTCTAGAAGTTGCCGCTGCCTATCACTCACGGTTCTGGAGAATCAAGAGCAACAAGATCAATCGCAAAGAACACTCGCAAGAACAAGAAAGAAAATCATACGTTGGGATGTTGACGCGGAAGTGCACGTATTGATCGCCATAAGCGTGTCGTTGCGTGACTTTGATACCTGAGGAAGACGAGGGAGTTAAAAGGAAGCTAAACTCTCAAAAGTACCTTTTCCACGCATCACTTGCTTCTGACCGGGTTGAGTACCAGGCTTGACCTGTGTTCGCAAAACCAAGATCAAAATCCATTTCCTTGAAACGTATAGCCTACCTTCAACATGACTGATCCTGTCAGTGTTGGCACTTCAATGGTTCCACCCAGAACAGCCTTGAAAACATTTCAAGTTATCAGAAAAGAAAGGAAAACTAGAGAAAAACGATCTACCTGAACCAAAGTGATCGGAACATCAACGTGGACGTCAGCGCCTTCTCTCCGGAAAACTGGATCTGGCTTAACCTGCATCAAAAGAAGTCGACAAGTTAAACAATAACTCTGCGAGTGACCGAGGATTCATACCTCTACTTTGACTATGAGATCTCCGGCTCGTTGTCCCCGAGAACCACTTCCTCCCTCGCCAGATATCTTCAAGTTCATTCCACTTTCAATACCGGCGGGAATCTCCACATCAACTTCTTTGACACCCATCACTGTGCCAGACCCTTGACAGGCCTTGCAATGCTCCTGCGATTTACCAAAAGCTTTAGATCGTTCTTCATGCTAATATCCACGTACCTTGACGAACTGGCCGCTTCCTCCGCATGCTGTGCAACTGGACTCCACGGAAAAGAATCCTTTTTGCATGAATATCTGGACAAAGAATCGTCATATTTGACAGAACACGAAGAGGAAAAAATCCTACCCTCCCAGCTCCCCTGCACGACTTACAAGTCTGCGGCTTTACTCCGCTTGGAACGCCAGCACCCTCTGCCAACACAAGTGATATCAAACTAACATCTACAGGGACGAAAACTGGAAAAGACTTACTGCACTTTTCGCATCGTACTTGAGTTCGATATGTGACTTTGGTTGTGCAGCCATTTACCGCTTCCATGAAAGAAATTTGTACATTCACCTGTACAGTAGTTAAGGTCAGATTTGAACCTTGAGAACGAGGAATCACACTTACGTTTGTGTTCTTCGGTCCTTTTCCACCGAACATCGAATTTAAAATCTGCGAAGGAAAAACTCACATCTTAAGTTCATTCATTAGAAATTCTGCGCTTACATCCTCCATGTTTGGACCACCACCGGGGCCATTAAAGATGTCCTCAAATATCGAGCTGAAACCCGGACCGGGCCCAGGCGGTACTCCATCTGCTCGCTCGACATAAGCGTGATGTCCCACCTGATAAAAACACAGTCTAAAACTCCTTTCAATCCAATTAATTCTTACTTGATCATAAATACTCCGCTTTTGATCGTCTTTCAAAACTTCATATGCCTGCTGGATTTCCTGGAACTTCTTATCAGCCTCAGGATCGTCCTTGTTCATATCAGGATGGTGTTTCTTGGCAAGCTGCGAAGAAAGAAGATCAAAACTATACAAAAAATCACCCTTTGCATACCGCATAATAGGCTTTCTTGATGTCTGACGCACTAGCTGTCTTTGACACCCCGAGTGTATCGTAAAAATCGTTCCTTGGAGCTGTCAGCAGCAGCAGTACACTGAGAAAACATCCATGAAAGAGCCAAATACCTGTGGAATGGAAGCCTCTAGCACTCGACGTGTAAAAAGCCCCTCTTCCAACATTGCTACGCGCAAAACTACTATAACAATGTCTCGGACCATGCGAGTATATATTCTGCTGTGAAACCTCTCCAGATGAGATCGCTGAGAACTAAAATTTTCGCAAATTCTGACCTGAGTCGCCGAGCTCCGGATGTTCCCGCCCTCCCACAGGCCACAGCGGCTCAATACAGCCCTCACAGCGCGTCGCCCCGCTGCTCCAGAGATGATCCGATGATGCACCATAGCGCATTCGCGAATGCCGGAAGAAATCCCAGCCCGGCCAGCTGCTGCGAAGCGTGCCCGCGCCGCGGAGCGCTCTCGTCACGAAGCGCCCTAACCCTAATCCTATGGAGTATATTCGTTCGCATCAAAGGGTTTAACGCCCAAGATTTAGGAGACACATGGCGTTATATTACTCGGAGAAGGCAATTTGTTAAATATGAGCCCTCTGGATATGCCAGATCAATCGGGTGGTCTGGTCCAGCTCCAGAAACACGAAGCAATGCGGCTTTTCTTCCAGCGGCTCTCGCAGCCTCCTGGAAACCAAAGAAGATTTTTCAAACTCTCTAGGCCTAGAACAAAATGAAGAGGAATGGATCACCTGGATGATCGATAAGAAGTTCTGGCTTTGTGCCACAGCGCCAGAGCACGAGCAAGTCATTAGCAATCCACCAGGTTTGGTTAATTGCATCGCCATTGCGTTTAGGTTGCGGTATTTGATCGCAGCTTTCTCGAGAAACTGGAAAGAGAAGTAGTGAGCCTTCTGTCAGTGGCCAGAAAAGAAAATTTAAGAGAAACCTTGCGGCTCGGTGCCAGCTTTGGAGGATCAAGCACAACCACGTCCCAGGTTTCTCCTTTTGACAGCGCGGCTTTCATGTACTGAACAATGTCCGCCTTCTCAAACGTAATCACTTGTGGATCTATGTTGTTGAGAGAGATGTTTGCGTCCGCAAGGTCTATAGCAGACTTCGAGGAGTCAACGCCTGCACGGATGAAGATTATGAATCACGAAGGCAGACTACAAGACTATAAAGTTACCAATGACTCGAGAAGCTCCTGTGATGGCTGCGTTGAGCGCAAAGGCACCAGTGTAGCAGCAAAGATCCAAAATGGTTTTATCTTTGCAAAAGGACCTGAGTGCCAGCCGATTATCTCGCTGATCGACGTAAAATCCAGTCTTTTGTCCCCCCAAAGAGACTTGATAAGCAATACCGTTTTCAAGCACCTGGCAGCACAAGCTCGTATCACTGAAAAATCCGTCACTAAATCCCTCAATAAACAAATGAATAAGAGAACTTACGTGAACTTCTTCGGGCCTTTCTTCTGATTCAATCACGCATTCGAAGCCTTCTTCCTTCAGCAGCTCCACAGATGGCCTCCAAGTCAGAAGTTTCGTCCCGACTAATCTCTTGAGAGTTTCCTCTATGTTCGTCTTGTATTTTTCGACCCACGCAGCAGACGATGCCACAACTATATGCTTGTCAAAGACATCCACCACAAGTCCCGAAAGCCTGGAATAAAAGAGCAGCTCAATACAAATGTAACAAAGAAACAAAGCTCGACACATACTTGCCTATCACCTTCACTGTTGACAAGCCGATAAACATTTGTTTCACTGGAAGGAAGGCCCAAAGCTTTTCGAAGCGCAAGAGCTCCAGACAATCTAGTCTCGATAAGCTTCTCAATATCAAAGTTGGAGTGTGGATCTCTGGAGAAAAGAAAGTAGCATACCATGAGAACAAATTCTTTCCTTCATAATTCTTTACCTTGCAGCTTCGTCTTGGGTTTGTAACACACGAACCCGAAACATAGAGACCGCATTGTAGACTCCCCAAGCGATAGGCTCTTCGGCGCCATTCGTGACAAGCACGAGATCCCCCGTCTTGGGAGGAGGCCGGCCGATAATCCGATCGATGGCGCCGCTAAACACCATGGGATTGCCAGTGACGAAGATCTGCGCCTTGCCCTTCTTCAAGACGACCCTAGAAACACCTGGCATTGCATCCATTGCGATCAAAATGCCGCGAAATATCACAATCCCGGGAGAAATCCTTACCGGGATTCAAAGACGCTACTTCCGCCAGGCGCTTGCTTCCAGCGGCGGAGCTTGCGGCCCATCGCGCCACCAGAGGCGCCAAACACGACATGAAAAACGAAAAACCCTAATCCTCCGTACAACGGCTTTAGATATTTGAAAATAGGGCTTATTTACCACAAAAGTTTTAGGTCGAACTACCAGAGCGATGGGGATGGAGGGGCGCCTAGACCTTCTTCCAATGTAAGTTCTTGTGAGATATTTGGGAAAATCTGTGCATCGCTCGCTTTTCCAGGTATGCGGCAATGTGCAAGCGCCACAAAATCGATCAAAACCCGGCGATCGTCAGATCTCTCCAGAAGGTACTCCTAGGTTCTTATCTCCTAGCCGGGCAATCTCACTCGATCGGGATTCCAGCAATTCGCCACGGGAGGCGACGAGCTGGAGCTCGAGGTAGGCGACGATGTGGGAGAGATCGAGGTTTGCTGCGTCAGGGATTTTCTCAAGCTAGATTTATGGTCGGCGGTGGATTTAAAGATCACAGGCGACTGCTGGAAGAGCTGGAAGAATAACACGCTTGTAAGTCTCTTGACGGCGTCCAAGGACAGGCTTCGTCATGTAGATCTCAGCGCATGTACTTATCGAAGAGAATTCGTAAGGTCAGTACTTTTGTTCTTCTTTCCTTGCATTTGTTTCACACTTTCCTTTCAGGTTTCTCTATAGAGTTGGTTTATCCTGCGAGACTCTAAAGCTTGGCCAATGTAGCGCGCCTACACGGAAGTTTAGCCTCGCCGGTGAGTTTCATCGCTTGGAAGTTCTCATAGTGGATCACAGCCGAAGTATCACCCTCTTGTCAAGCACTTGCTTCGAGGGCATGCCAAAGCTAGCGAAGCTTTCAATGTGTGGCACGGGCATCGTCAACCTTTGGACAACATGTCGTGCTCTTTCCAAGCTGCCGAGCCTCCGAGAGCTTCGCTTCCAGCGCTGCGTGTGTTGCGAAGGGACTGGCCACTGTATTGCTCCACCGCCCGACGATTGTGATGGGCAAAACATTTCAGCCGGGAGTTCTGGTGATGACCAAGAAGTTGAGAAAATGGAAATTTTTCAGAAGGGGACGGATGAGAGTGACTACTGGGATAGTAGCGGCGATGAAGAAGAGGAAGAAGAAGAAGAAGAAGAACAGGAAGAACAGGAAGAATATGATGAACTTGGAGAAGAAGAAGTTGTAGAAAGCGAGCTGGATACTGATCTGGACGAACAGTTCGTTTGTCTCGAAGCTGTGGAACCCGAAGCTGGAAACGATGAACCACCAAAGGCCGAGGAGCGGCAACTAAGCTATCTTTTCCAGTCAACAATATGCCACGAGAAGTTCTACCAACAGTTTATGATATCGTCACTCCCGAAGCTTCAAGTACTGGACAATCTGGAGATCACACAGGAAAGCAGGAAAAAGGCATGGATAGTCTACTGCGACAACTTTGAGCGCTCGCCAAACACTCGGCGACGGCGGGAGGGCATTGTGGAGATACTTAAGAGCAGGGAGAGAGGCGGCGACCGGGGACCTCACAAGAAGAGGAAAATAAACGAGACGAGAGCTCTGTCTACTTCCAAGCTGTGTGACTGGCCTGCTACAAGCGTCGTCTACAATCCTTGCAAGTCCAACGTGGATATTAACAGGAGACTTAAGCCGCGGCAATTTGAGTACCACCCCAAGGATCCAGCTCTTATGGTTCTCGGGACACTAAACGGAGAACTAGCTGTGGTAAATCACGAGGAGGATAGACTGGTGGCTTATATTCAAGCTTCTACAGTTCAGCACCGCGTGCTGGGATTATGCTGGTTGAACAACGAGCCTGACAAGGTACCCGTGTATTTCTCTTTTCTTCTTTCCAATTCTTTTTCTTTCGTTTGCAGTTTATAGCAGGTTCTGACAATGGTGTGTTGGAACTTTATAGCTTGTCTCGGATGCGAGCTGCGACTATGGCGTGCACATATATGTGCGGTTCAGTGCACAGATTTAACGACTTCGAGCAGCTCACCTCCGTTCATATCAATTCGCAAGACGAGCTCTTTCTCGCAAGTGGCTACAACAAGAATATTGGCCTCTACGATCTTCAAACCGCCAGGCTAGTCAAGGTATTTCCTCATCTTCATGAGGACCACATAAACGTCGTCAAGTTTGCGCATCACTCGCCCAAGACGTTCGCTACTTCCTCGTTTGACAAAACTGTGAAGATGTGGGACCTTAGAACGACGATGACTTCGCCAGTTTACTGTACTACCAGTCGATCCGGGAACGTCATGCTGTGTTTCTCTCACGACGACCATTTCGTTTTGGTTTCCGCGGTGGACAATGAGGTAACTTCCATCTCTTTTGAAGATCTTTACTATCCTGCATTACAGGTAAGGCAGTACCTTGCTGCCGATGGAAGACTTCACACGAAGTTCGACATCACACCAGCAAATAGCAGGCGAAACTACACAAGATCATACTATATGAACGGCAGGGACTACATTATCACTGGCAGCTGCGAAGAAAACCGGATCGGAGTTTACAGTGCTCAAACTGGAAGGCGACTGAGAGATGTAACGCTGGAGGTAACTTCCACGTTTATAGTTTCAAGGCTATAGCTAACTGTTCGTGCAGGGACGAGGTGTAAATAATTCCTTGTACGTGCAGTCACTGAGGGGTGATCCTTTTAGAGTAAGTCAAGTTCTTACGTCTACTCTTTAGATTCAAGTAGCTAAGATTGCCTCAAACAGGATTTTCACATGTGTGTCCTTGCGGCTTACAATCACCCTCACCAGCGATCAGAGATTGTCAAGGTGAAGATACCTTCTTTCTTTCTCTACTCCTGACCCGGGTATCTTCACCAGATCAACATGGTCGCGTCAAGCAACTACGTCGGGCCTACAGATTCTCAGTCCTCGTTCACTGGCGGAAGCGTCAGCGGAGCATAAATTCTTTCAAAAACAAGCCAGTCCTGGTTCCACTCTCTACTGCAAAGTGATTACTAGACGAGAGGAACTCGCTTGCAGCCGCTTCAAGTCATTGTACATCTGGGGATGCCGGGCCTCGAACAGCTCCATCAGATTCCACTCCTCACTGTCCTGGAGGAGACGTGAGCAATTCACAGTCAGGACCTTGAGCCCGGGGCAATGGACGAGCAGAGCTTCCAGCAGCTCAAAGCATCCGTTCTCTTCGAGAAAAACCGTGGCCTTGACAAGCTTAAGTTTGGCCAAGACATCGCCATCAATCTCCTTACAGAAACACTGCACAAGGAAAGACAGTTTTACACTCAGAAGAAACCGAGCTTTTACGTACCTCGAGCATGTTGCCGCCGAAAGTGATGGTGTCCAGCCGCGAGAGGCCGTGAAAGAACGTTTTCCAAGCAACAGGCTCCGGGTCCGACACCGAGACATCGATCTTCACCTCGGAGATGTTGGGTACGAGCTCCACAATGCTGTGAATCTCCTTAAACTCCCACTCACTTCCTCCCATTGTCAGGATCTCAACGTTGTCGAGCGAAACCACGATCAAGTCCTTGCAGCGCGACGGCAAGTGTAACTCCCGGAGCTCTGGAGCGACAAGAACACAGCTGATCCCGTCCAGCGTGAGGCACTTGAGGTTCATGGTTTCCAGCATGATGAACGGCGGCCCAGTCTCGGGACCCTCACGACGATCCACTGCCAAATGGACGCTGTTAACGTTGCTGTTCGTGAGCCTCACTTTAGCGGTCTGGAAGTTCTTGACGACCAGCTTGTCGAGAGCCGGGCAGTGATTTAGAACCGAGACCACGGCCGGGTGCTTGAAGCTGGAATCGTCGAGAACGCATTCACGGAGGGTGGTGAGATCGAAGTTTAGCATCGGAAGGAGGAACGCTATCGATCCATGGACTCGCAGGGCCGAGAGTTTTGAGCAGTTCTTCACCAGGTTCCAGAGATTAAGCTCCTTTGTGCTCACATACCAGAGCTCCAAGTCCTGTATGGAGTCTTTAACGATTTCTATCCAGCTTGAGAGGAGTTCTTCCGGAATGTCGCAGCCCTGGTGGATTTCTATGGCGAGATTCTTGATGGAGTGGGCGCGGCGGAGCATGGGAGCCACGGCATTGGCGTCGGATTGCTGGGCGAGCGTGAAGTGGAGGGAATCGACATACCTGGAGAGGGATTGCCAGCGGCGGCACACGGGCGCTAGGGTTGCGATGCTGCGCGCGTCCTTGAGATCGGCGAAGATGGAGAGGACGGCCTCTGCGGGGAGGGATTCGAAGCTCGCCTCCTCCATTGCATTAGAGGCAGAGGAAACCTAAAACCTGGAAGAAATATCTCCACGTCGGAGTGCCACGTGTAAATTATTCTTCCACGTATGCATGCCACGTGTTAACTACCTAGTGTGTGATTTAATCAGCATTGGGAACATTTAGTTCTTCCTTTTTTTTAATTTCTGTTTCGCGTGCCAATAGTCATGTACAAAGATGGCGAGACTTTGATGAGGTCCTTGCTGGCCGTCAAAGTTGCAGATATCCAAATCAACAATGCAGGAGGAAAATAACAAAAGGTGAAATCAAATTTAAACACAAATGATAAGCAAGAATATACCTTGATTACTAGGAGAATATTTTAGATATATTCCTTACCTATAGGTTCTCAAATCTGAAATTGTAGCTTTTCTCTACTGGCAGGCTGCTGAAACTGGAATTCTACCAATGAGCTCATGGTCTAGCTAGCACTTGAGATCAATACAAATTTTATAATATTTCTGGTACTTAAAAGTTGAGAATCTGCTCAAATTCCACAAGAATTCCATAAATTCCATATTCTACCATTGTCAATGGGAGGTCATTAGACATTCTGTTCATTGTTCCATATCATGGATAATTCTTTGTAGATTCAATGGTTCTCTCAAAATAAAACCCTAGGGACAACAGCTGTGCTGTGGCTCCTTATATGATAAGTAATTCTGAAATTGTGGATTGGATGTAGAAAGTCACCTTCAAACTTAACAATTAGAGAAAAATAATACCATCTCTACTGGAATTGCTTGAAATTGTTTTTTGTCCATGACTACAGATGGATCCCCATGTGAACAAAGTCCATTGAACAAAGCATGTCCTAATAGTGATTAGAAATTAGACACAATTTGTTAGTGATATATAATAATTTTATTTAATAAAATGAAAAACAAATAATATAGATTTGTGAATGCATAGAATATAAAAAAGGAATATAGAAATGTGCATATCAATTAGAAGTGAATGGTCCAAATTGAAACCAATTTAACGGTTATCAAAATCCCACTATATTAATATTAGTATATAGCATCATACTTATACACTTGAACTTCATATCATCCCTTTCTCTTGGAACGATAGAAAATAATTAAGATTCTCTAGTGGACGGGTCAGAATCTAGAGGAATATCAGAAAAAGGTATTGGTGGATTTGTAGATGGTGCAAATTAATCATGATCCCTTTATACAAAGCGTTTTAACACTTAAATATGCATAATTTTTAGAGGATCAACTTATTAGACATCATTCTAAACCTCATGAACTTGTGCTCCAACTTGCCATAACACCTACCTTCTATTGAGCAACAAGCCTCTTAAATAAACTATGTACTGTAAAATTAGGAAAACTAATTAACACCAAGTCATCCACTTTGTATTGCACAAGAGGACAATGATAAGGAGTTGTAAAGCTATTATTGTCCCAAATGTTCAATAGACTTTGTTTGAACAAGCAGAAGAATGCTCATTAAATATTGATCTCAAAACTTAATATCAGCAATTTATGGTAATCATAAAGGTAAACTCAACTCTATTAACAATATTAGATCATGGGTATATAGGACTTTATATAGTGAAACACCAATAGAACTCTATACCCTTATGATATATGCATACCAAAAAGATGATAAGTAACCATCCCAATTCGATTGTTGAAAATTTATATACTTTATGATCATCCCTTTTGTCGCGAATGTGACTTCGGGTATCGAAAGTTACCTGTCAGCCAATCCTTACAGACACTCTTACTTTACTGCCACGATGGCAAGAGGTCGGTATTGCTGGACCTATTATCAGTTTCCCACTTGAGCTAGTTGAGAAACTAGTCAATGACCGTGTACTTAGATCGGATAAACATAAGGTAGGAACCCTATGTGTTTTTTGCTGAGCATACTCGGCCTGGTTTGAGAAACTCTTATCATTGGCTTGCATTTGTTAGTATCAAAAACCCCCGTGATATTGAGATTGGTTCTGCTTCGTGGTGTTATCCTATAGTAAAGCACCATATGATAAAGGGTCAAAACCACATGCGCTACACTTAGATAATAGTTCTGTATTTATGGCTAAGGCATTTGATGTTTTAACATTCGAGAGGGATATGCTACACTTTCACGAGTACTTATCATGAATAAATAGATAGATTGGTGAAATGGTTTATTTGGACCTTCAAAGGTGTAGCGCACATGGTTTTGACCCTTTATCCTGTGGTGATTTACCATAGGATAACACCACGAAGCGGAACCTAAACCCTCTTTGTGCCACGTGACAGATGCCACATGTTTCATGCCACGTGTCCATAGGACAGTAGTGTGGAACCCGAGGTTTAGGGCCTTGGGCCACTGAACGAAGGAACGGTGTCAAACTCCCAAGCATAGAGCCAAATGTAAGCGACTAAATTTTCCATTCTACTTTAGTCACTTAACCACACCTCTGACCACTTGGAGGAGTCTCATTCACAACCTCCATAAGTCCAATCCAGGACTTGGGACTTGCTAGCCCCGAGAATAGCATCCATGCCACTCAACATTTGCGCTTGGTCCAAGTGCTCCACGTGTCCGATCCCATGACCGACACTCAAAGGTACCACCGACATAGCAGCCCGTTACGCTAAGGCCATGCCCAATCACCTTTGCCACACTGGTAGTCCAATACCACTTGCATCACCGTCTTGGCTCTCCAAGACTAGGCAAACCATCCGTGAGTGGTCATCTCAGATCCACTCCTTAGCATCCTTAGGATGCCCACCGACAAGGGGAATAGCCTTCCCCAATATCCCTCTGTCAGTCCCCACTAAGTCCCTTTCTGCCCCTGGCCGTGTTTGCCAACACTGCCACTGGATCGAGACCCACAGGCCCGACCACTAAGTCCCACGGTCCTCTGGGACTTCCTCACCACATGACTGTGTCCTTGGTCACTACCCCAGAGGACTGCTCCTCTTCCTTTCCACAGTCTGGGCCTTTGGGACAACATTTCGGAACACCGTGGCCTTACGCGAGCCACTTGGGTACTCTCCTCGCCTTCTGCCCTTGGGTGCTCTAGCCATGGGCTTAGAGCGGGTTCCGTTGAGCCACACCAGGTATCCAAGTAGGTAGTGCCACCCACACTTGGACTGGGAGCATCGGCCAGTCAATCTCCCGGGGGAACTAGAGCCGGCTCTTGAACACTTCACCAAGCTACCCCGCTTGTCGGTCCGTGTTCACTCTAGTCTTGGACTTCCCAGTGGGCAGCTCATCACCCAACACTGGGTCCGGCCTTCCTAGGCCAAACTGGCCTTTCCTGGCCAAATTGGCTCCACTGCAGTCCTCCCCCTACTATACTTTTGGAGCTCACCAAACCCCCCAGGGTCTGGGAGACGAACGCTTTGGGCTTTCACCCTCTCAGGCTCCGGACTCGGACTCGGACTCGGACTCGGACTCGGATTCGGATTCGGACTTGGACTCGGGCTCGGCCTCGGTCTCGGCCTCGGCCTCGGTCTCGGTCTCGGTCCCGATCTCGGTCTTGGTCTCGGTCTCGGTCTCGGTCCCGGTCTCGGTCTCGACTTCAGACTCCATCTCGGACTCAATCTCGGACTCCATCTCGGACTCCATCTCGAACTCCATCTCGGGTCCATCTCGGGTCCATCTCGGACTCCATCTCGGACTCCATCTCGGACTCCATCTCGGGTCCATCTCGGACTCCATCTCGGGTCCATCTCGGACTCCATCTCGGCGTCCA